AAAATAAAAAGGTTAAGAGCCTGGGTCCAGAAAGAGGAAGGAGGGAGAAGAAGAGAGGGAGGAGGGAGAGAGAGAGAGAGGAGGGAGAGGAGAGAGGAGGAAGGAAGGGAGAAGAAGAGAGAGGAGGAGAGGAGAGGAGAGGGAGAGGAGAGAGAGGAGAGGAGAGAAGAGAAGAGAGAGAGAGAGAGAGAGAGAGAGAGAGAGAGAGAGAGAGCAGAGAGAGAGAGAGAGAGAGAGAGAGAGAGAGAGAGAGAGAGAGAGAGAAGAAGAAGAAAAGAAAAATGAGAGATAACTCACCAAAAAATAAACCCTAAATATAACGGAAACGAGAGATCGCAAGAAGACCAAACAAACACAAAAAATATATATAAATAAAACGGAGAGAATAAACAAACACGCAAAAAAAAAAAAAAACTTTCCAAAAGCTCCTTCTTCGCAAACGTTTCACAAGAACTAACCCCAAAAACCCACTTATTTTACCGTATCTCTCTCTCCTCTTTCTATCTTACGTCATACGGCATCTTGGAAAGGGAGAAGTAGAGGGAGAAGAGAAAAAAGGGGAAGAGAAGGGAGGAGAGAAAAAAAATTGGCAGGGGACGGGAGAGGAGAAGGAGAGAGGCACGTGGTAGGGGTGGTACCAGGAAGAGGGGGGGGGGAAAGCAAGGAGGGTGGTTTAGGTTTGGAAGGCAGGGGGGGGGGGGGATAGCAGGGGGTGAAGGGGGTTGAAAGGGGTGTGAAGAAGCAGGGGTTGCAGAAGGGGGTTGGAAGGGGGTGAGAAGCAGGGGGTGGAGACAGGAGGTAGGGGGAGAAGAGGAGAGGACAGGCAAGGCAAGGCAAGGAAAGAGAAGGAGGAAGGAGGGAGGAGAGGAGGAGAGGAGGAGGAGGAAGGGGATATTGGGGAATCCCGGAAATGAGATCCTCAGGTGATTTCCTTCGCGTTCCACATGACCCGTACCCCGCCCCCCTTTTCAATTTCTCGACCACCTCGTCATCGTCATCTCGTCGTCATCGTCTTCGTCGCGGTGGTCTTCGTCTTCATCATCATTTCCTTCTTATCTTCATCATTTCTGTCGTTATCCTTGTCATCTTGAGGTTTCCAAAAGGTGATGAAGTGTATATATACGAAATACGAGAGAGAGAGAGAGAGAGAGAGAGAGAAGAGAGAGGAGAGAGAGAGAGAGAGAGAGAGAGAGAGAGAGAGAGAGAGAGAGAGAGCGAGAGAGAGAACAGAATTAACGAACGAAAACAGAACCAGACGAAGCGTAGAGATACAAATAGACGATTTCGTGGGCGTGTGGGCGTGTGGGCGTTGACAAGACACCACCGCCCTCCTGATGGAACGTTATCGGGCTTGCTAAAAGTCTCGATAAAAAGTTTTCCTTCTTAAGAAAAAAAAAATCCTTTTACTTTCCTTTTTTCTCTCTCTAGTAACGTAATTATCACAAGTTTCTCTCTGTTTATTATTCGTTTTTTATCTAATTATCTTGTTTATTCATTTTTTTCCTTTCTATATTTGGAGTGGAAGGTTCAGCGAGTACGTCTGTGCATTTTTTTTCTATTTTTTCCTAATTACATAGAAGATTGGCTTGTCATCCTCACCGGTATATTTGGCGTTTTAGTTAACTTAAGAGTATATGTAGATATTCTTGGGGTATGAGGTGGTATCTCGTGGTATCGTAGAAAACTTTCGTGTTATCATGACAACCGTTAAATATTCAAATCACGTGAAAACCGTTACAGTTTTCAATTCAAATCTTTCCTCATAAATCTCTTCTACAAAAAAGCAACAAACCGCTTAAACGTGGACAGATGTATATACAATACTAATACACGTCAACAGGAACTATTATCAGAACGAACACCGTGTTTTTCTAGAACTTTTAAGTGTCTCTTTGGGTAGGAGTCCACTCGGGGAAGTCGAGAGTCTACGGGACGCGCACTCCGACGTTCACTAGGTGCCGGCCGGGGCTTGACTGCGGAGGAAGCTGCAGGTTACTCTTGCCTCGCCGGAGATGTCCGTCTCCTTATCCCCGCTCGTGGCTCTGGCTTCGGCTTGGGCCTTTCGCTCGACACTGCCGAGCGTTAGGATCGGCGCTGTGGCGTGTGATGCCGAGGTTCCAGAGGTGTGACGATGTTCGGAGTTGGAGGTTGTGTGCTCTTTCTTTCGTTATTTGAGGTTGTGTACGCTTTTGTTTGGGATTCTTTCGTTAGATGAGAATACATATGACTATATTTTCTCCAACCGAGAGAAATTCCGCACTCTAGATGTATCGTTTATGCTTTTTTCCGAACAAAAATCTATAAACCACCTCCCCCTCCCTCCAAATTCATAAAAGAAAAACAACAAACCCAAAATATACACAAAAAGACCCTCCAAACTCACCGAGTGAAAGAAGATTTAGAAAGAAAGAGAAGAGAGAGAGAGAGAAGAGAGAGAGAGAGAGAGAGAAGAGAGAGAGAGAGAGAGAGAGAGAGAGAGAGAGAGAGAGAAGAGAGAGAGAGAGAGAGAAGAAAACAGACGTTAAAGAAAACGGAACGACCATAGTATCCGTTTTCTATGCGAGTTCGCCGACGGCCTTGCAAACACAGAATGCCACTGCAGAAAATCAATCTCTTTCTATCGCATTCCTAGGCTTGTGGGATTCCCTCTTTCCCTCCCTTCCCTTCCCCCCTTCCCCCTCCTTTCCATCCATCTTCCCTTCCCCCCTTCCCCTCCTTCCATCCCTTCCCCCCTTCCCCCTTTCCCCTTCCCTTCCCCCCTCTTTCAGTTGTTTTGGGGAAGTCATTCTGTGTGTGTGTGTGTGTGTGTGTGTGTGTGTGTGTGTGTGTGTGTGTGTGTGTGTGTGTGTGTGTGTGTGTGTGTGTGTGTGTGTGTGTGTGATGTGTGTGAGAGAGAGAGAGAGAGAGAGAGAGAGAGAGAGAGAGAGAGAGAGAGAGAGAGAGGAGAGAGAGAGAGAGAGAGAGAGAGAGGAGAGAGAGAGAGACAGACAGAGAGAATTTATCTATACGTTAGAGTATAAACTCTCTTTCTCTCTTTTTCTCTCTCCCTCTCTCCCCTTTTCTCTCTCTTATTTATCAAGCTCCATTTCGCGCCGAAAAGAACGAATAGCAATTTTGCGAAGACGAAATTTGCGAACAATAAAGCAAATTGTTTCCGGAAGTGAAAAGCAACGACGTTCGGAGTGACATTTTGAACACGAAAACGAAATTCTTTTTTTTTTTTCGTTTCTGTTGCCTATTGTATCGTTGTTTATGGTTGCTTTGTTGTTTTTAGGGTTCTAAACATTTAGAGGAGAGACGGGTTTGTGTGTGTGTGTTTGTTTGTTTGTTTGTTTGTTTGTTTGTGTGTGTGTGTGTGTGGGTCTGTTTGTGATTTGTGTTTGTGTGTGTTTGTAGTGTTAAGTGTGTTTGTGTGTTAGTGTTTGTGTGCTAGTGTTTGTGTGTTAGTGTTATGTGTGTGTAGTGTTGTGTGTGTGTGTGTGTGTGTGTGTGTGTGTGGTGTGTGTGTGTGTGTGTGTGTGTGTGTGTGTGTGTGTGTGTTGTGTGTGTGTGTGTGTGTGTGTTGTTGCCCTCTTGGTTTGGGAAAGATGGAAGTGGGGAGAAGAGAGAGAGAGAGAGAGAGAGAGTAGATGGAGAAGAGAGAGAAGGAGAGAGAGAGAAGAGAGGAGGAGAGAGAGAAGAGAGAGAGAGAAGAGAGAGAGATGAGAGAGAGAGAGAGAGAGAGAGAGAGAGAGAGAGAGAGAGAGAGAGAGAGAGAGAGAGACAGAAGACAAGACAGAAAGACAAAGAGATGTCAAAAATAAACCGAAAGAAGGAAAGAAAGACTGAGATGACCAGGAAATAGCGAAGGGAAAAGAAAACGAGAAGAACAGACAGATAACAAGACGAAAAAGATGAAAAAGAAAAAAAAGAAAAGAAGAAAAGAAGAAAAGATTAAAAGAAGAAAGAAGAAGACAGCGACTCTAACGACAAGCGAGAAGCAAGTCGTTACAAGGGAGTCGTTTTGAATCGCCCGAATGGTTTTCCTTTCGAGTTTCGCTTTTCTTTTTCTTTCTTTCTTTCTCGCTCTCTCGCTTTCTTTTATCTTTCTTTCTTTCTCCTTCTTTCTCTCTCTCTCTCTCTCTTTTCTTTCTCTTTCTCTTTTCTCTTCCTTCTTCTCTTTCTCTTTTCTCTTTCTCTCTTCTCTCTCTCTCTCTCTCTCTCTCTTCTCTCTCTCTCTCTCTCTCCTCTCCAAGATAACCCAAGAAGTGGAGTTTGAAGTTCTGAAGTGATTCTTTTTTTATATCGGATGTTTTTGTTTTGTTGTTGTTTGTGTTGTTGTTTCAGGACTGGTGTTGAAGTTGTGTTTGTGTCTCGCTGTTGTTGTTGTTATTTATGTTTTTTTTTTCTTTTTTTCTCTCTCTTGTTGGTAATCGAGTGTTGTGGAGTTGTCTTGCTGTGTTTGTTGTGTTTTTGTTGTTGTTGTTGCTACTGTTGTTCTTGTTTTATTGTCGTTGTTGCTGCTGTTGGTGTTGTGTTTGTTGAGTTGAGTTTTGTCTTCCTTTGTCGATACTTTATCGTGTGCAAAAGACTATGAAAATGTATACGAAGGAGTGAGAGTCTATCAAGTATGACCAGAATCTTTACATATTCTCTCATTTTCTTTATTTTTCTATTATCTATTCATCCATTTATTCCTCCATTTATTAATTTATCTATCTATCTATCTATTTACCTATTCATTCATTTATTCATTCTCCTGAACACAATATCTTCTCTTTCTTTGTCTAAGGCAACAAGGCATCCACTATTTGCATATTCTCTTCCCAACAAAAGGAAAAACACACACACACAAAAAAAAGAATAAATAAAGCGAAATAACACAAAGCATAAAACAAAAATAAAAAATCAACTTAAAATAAGGAAATAAAGGAATAAGATAAATTGATAAAGACAACGTTTTGATAAAAATAATAATAATAATAATATTAATAATAACTAAATAAAAATAGTTTTCTTACCTTATTGGATATATGGGCGACACTGAAGGACATACAGCCGAGAAATTCACTCCTTCTGAAGGGACAAGAAAAGTAAAAAAATAAAATAAAAAACAAGGTCAAGGCAGAGGAAAGGTCAGGTCAGCTTAGGTTAAAGATCAGGCATTTCAGAGGTCAAATGAAGGGTCTTGCTGAATAAAATGAATTCAAAATCGAGAGCAAAGAAGGTTTGGTTTTCGAGTTTGGATAAAAAATATATATGAGATGAAGATTACTTTTTTAAATTAATATATTAATTCTTTACAAGTACTTATTTACTGGCAATGGATATCTATCTATTTATCTACCTATGGATACCTGTCTATCTATCTATGGATATCTATCTATCTATCCATCCACCCACCTATCTATCCATCCATCTACCACCTAACCATCTATCCACCTATCTATCTATCTATCCATCCATCCATCTAATCGATCCACCATCTATATATCTATCCTTACATCGATCTATTCATCTCACCATCTATCTATCTATCCACCTATCTATCTATCTACCCATCCATCTACCTACCTACCTATCTATATAACACACATATCCCTGATTTCTCATCACTTTTCCCTACCTCTCTCTTCATTCACTTCTCACTCTTTGCTCATCAACTGTAACTTTTTCTTCTCAAAATCGGCACAAGATAACAGACAAATAACCCCCCCCGCCCCCCTTCACATCTTAATTAAACTTCCCTTATAGTGTAGTGTTATCATCATTTTCTTGAAGATAAGAAAGGTGGAAGTGGGAAATTGGAAAGCAGTGGTATGAGACCCGAGAGACAGGGGATCATTTTGGAATAAGAGGGAAAATGGAAATTAATAGGTAGTTATGTGGTTTGCTATTTACGAGCGGCCATAACGAGGAGTAGAGGTAGTTTTTTATCAAAGAAACTATTTATTCTAAGTAGTAGAGTTAGTTTTTATCAGAGAAACCGTTTATTGTAAACATTCCACTGCCAACCTACCCACCCATATCTCTATCCCGCCCGTATCCCACCCTAACACCACATTTTCAATCCACACCCACATTCCACCCCTCATCCACTCACAAAACCACATTCCACCCTCATCCACACACCCCACTCCCACCCAACTTATCCATATTCCACCCCTTCCCCACACCCCCACCCAACCTATCCATATTCACCCCTTCCCCCCCATCCACCTCCTTCCCCTATCCCCCCATTCCCACCCTCATTCCCCCTTCCCCTTCCCCACCCACCCCCCACCCAACCATCCACCCACCATCCCCATCCACCACCACCCACACCCACCCCTCCCACCCCACCCATCCACCCCCCCATCCACCCCCCATTCCCCACCTCCTTCCCCCCCCCCCCACACTCACTTCCTCAGCGTATCCCGACTCCACACCGAAATGAGGAGCCGCTTGTCGAGGTCTTCAGGCAGGAAATCGAAGCTGAATTTCTGGTCGAAGTCTGGGGCGTTGGTGGCCCGGATGAGCGGGTGCGGCAGAAGGTCCTCTCGACACAGTCCGGTACGAGCGAGATCTGGGGAGAGGGAGAGAGAGAGAGAGAGAGGGTTGAGTGGGGAGAGAGGAGAGAGAGGGGTAAGTGAGTGGGGGTGGAGGGGGGTTGGAAGGGGGTGGGGGTGGGTATGGTACAGGGTGGGTATCGGTGATGTGGGGCGATAGGGGAAGGGGTGGAGGAAGTGGGGTGGTATGGTGTGGGGGTGAGTGTTGGGTATTGTGGGGGTGGCGTATGGTGATGCGCATGGGGTGGTAGAAGGATTAGGGGGGGTATGGTGGTAGGAGTATGGCAATGGGGAGATGGGGATATGGCGGTGGGGGCGTAATAGCAGGGGTGTGGGAAGAAGTGTATAATGGGTATGGTGTGAGTATGGTATAGCTGGGAATGGAGAATGGGAGAGCGATGAGGTAGTGGTCGTAAAAGCTTATGGTGAGTGACTATGACGGGAGATGGTGACAGCAAGATACATCAACATCCCTTGCCAAATACAACCCCCCCAAAAACAAAACAAAATAATAATAAAATAAATCTATAATATTAATAATAGATAAATAAAATAAATAAAATATAAAATAAATAAATAAACAGGGACAACACTATCTCCCCCTGTCTTCCCCTTCCCCTCCCTTACTTTCCTCCCATTCACCCTCCCCACCCCGCCTTTCCCTCCCCCTCCCCATCCCATTTCCCTCCCTCCCTTCCCTTCCCCCTCCCCACATCCCACACCTCCCTCCCACCTCCCCCACCCCCTACCCACATTCCCTCTCCCTCCACAACTTCCCCCCCTCCCCCTGATCTCCACACCATGACAAACGACCCGAAAAGACACGCCTGATCACGTGACACCCCCCCCCCTGCCTCCTACCCCGCTCCCCCCCGGGTGATTTACAGGGTGTCAGATCGTATTATAAATCTG